AGGTTTCCACAAAATCAAGCTCTGAAAAGCTGACACGTGTCAATTTTTTCATTTAGGACTTTATATTTTCTTAATTTTGACATTTGTCTCCACTAAAGATTATGATTATTGTATTGACTCTTTAAAATAAAAGTGTGATGTAATATTAATTTCGAAATAAAAAATTAACATCAAGTTAATTGAAAAATATGTAAAATTATATTCTAATGTATAGTGTTTTTTTTTGGAAAATATCTCTTCACTAATATTTAAAAAAAAATTCTTAATTAGAATTTCGAAAAACTATCATATTTCGTAATCTTTCTTTTCTTTTTTGGTCGTTTTCATCATTTTGTGATCAAATATATTAAGAGTATATCCTTAATAAGATCAAATTATTCTATAATAAATTAATAAAAATTATTTAAGATGCTTCAATATGTTTTTTGTATCGGCCACATGTGCAATGATGTCTTTTCTTTTTTGGTCATTTTCATCATTTTGTGATCAAATATAGTAAGAGTATATCCTTAATATGACCAAATTATTCTATAATAAATTAATAAAAATTATATAAGATGCTTCAATATTTAAGATGCCACGATGTCATTATATAATTGTTTCATCATGTTTAGCAAACCAATATTTTAATAACATGAAAAATTGACATATTTTAAGATTATTCACATAAAATAGTTTGAAATTATTTTTTTACTTTTGAATATTTTGCTAATATTGTAAGATCAAATTAATTGCACACTGGAAAAAAACAATCCGATAAACACACTTTTTAAAACGTATGGAGCATCTTAAAGGGAAAAAAATTGGGACTAAAACTCATATTCCAATTAAACCTCATATGTAGATGTTTTGATTTGTAACTCATGGTACTAAATATCAATATTTAAAACATTTTGAAAGTATAGCCCAAGTAAAACTAATCATGGCACATCATTGACAATTATGTACAAAAATTTCATTATGCAAATAAAATATGAAACGGTAGTATAAAATGTTATGATCTATTAGATAAAAAATGATTTTGTAGGAGATCAGTTAAAAACTAAAGAAATTATTTATATTACATAAAAACTTGATTCTTGATTTTTATATAGAGTGTTTTATGCAAATAACCATAAAGACGTCAATAAAAATAAAGTTGTATATAGAAGACTGTTATTTTGTTAAAACATTGTAGAAGCTCTATAAATTAGATAATATAAGAATCAATTTTGTAAACTAAATATGTGATCAGTCAATTTCAAAAACAATTAAAAATCTTATTGATTTTTACATATATCTTTATGTATAAATTGTTACATATTCTACTATATAAATTTTATTTTTTCGGCCACGTGCGGACTCGACATTAATTCTTTTCAATAGTGGACTATGAATTTCAAGAAGAAGGCGATGCTAAATTTCAGAACACAAATAAAACACATTTATATATATATCATATGGTTCACTTCATATTAAACCTTAAAAATGATCTTTTAATTTATAAAAATTAAAATCTATGAGCATAAATCTTAAAAAT